AATAAATAAAATCTTTAAAAAAAAAAAAGATAAATGTAGTATACTCCTTTCTGTGGGTTCCTTTGTATATTCTAAAATGAGAAGAGGAAGAAAGAAGATGAAAATTTAAAAAAATTTGAAATAATTTCTAAATATTATCTTCCTACATTTCAATAGATCATCTTACACATCCCACTTTGGAGACTATTAATTGCTCCATGACATAGCACAGTGTATCAGAGAACTGGTCAAACATCTGAAGTGTCTATTAAGTACAGATTCTGCTTTTGCACATATTGTCTATGTGATCAGGATAAGAGCAGACTCTCTTCAGTTTGTCAGCAGCCCTCAACCTTCCCTACTGTATTCTACCTAGCCCACTACACATTTCCCTTACCTGCGAAGCTCATGTAGACATTTGAGTTTTTGACTCTGCTTTATGGGAAAAAAAATAGAGGGGATTCTGACTTTTTCAAAAAAAATCAAGATAAATTTTATAGACAGCAAAATGAACTGATTTTAAGTGTATAATAAGATGAGTTTGGGCAAATATATATAGTCATAATGACCAGAACCCCAATCAAAATATAGAACAATTCCATCATTCCAGAAAGTTCCTTTATGCCCTCTTCTAGTCAATCTCCACCCTCCCAACCCCCACAAGCAACCACTGTTCTGATTACTATCACTATACATATGCTTGGGAACACTGACTGTCATTACTTCATTGTCTAGCCCAGCTCATCAGGAAGAAAAATTTGATAGGGATTTGGAGTATAAGCTCTAGGCAGGGATCAAAGGCTTTAGTGGCAGCATGACTAATATTACCTCTTTTAAGAATTGAAGCAAGAAATAAATCAGTGAGAGAAAGACAAATACCATATGATTTCACTCATATGTGGAATTTAAGGGACAAAACAGATGAACATACAAGGGAAAAGAGGCAAATTAGGAAACAGACTCTTAACTACAGAGAACAAACTGAGGGTTACTGGAGGGGAGGTGGGTGGGAGGATGGGTTTAATGGGTGATGAATTAAGGAGGGCACTTGTAGTGACGAGCACTGGGTGTTGTACGTAAGTGATGAATCATTAAATTCTACACCTGAGACTAATAAGTTAACTACCTGGAATTTAAATAAGAACTTGAAGAAAGTAAAATAAAATGATAATTTAAAACAAAATGAAACAAAAACAAAAGCCTTTTGTGTGGACTGTCAGGGGTACAATAACTATTAATATTAATTGAATGCAAAAAAAAAGAATTGAAGCAAGAAAATGTCATTAATAATGACATCTGCCATTTATTAAGTAATAACTATGTTCCAGGCACAGTACTAGGCACTTCATACATCACAGGCAGTCAAGGTATACACTTAGGCAAGAATATGAACCCAACAGGATGTAAGAGCAGAAGTTGAAGTGAGCTGCCACAGAGCATAACTGACATGAATAATTTGGCTGACTATTTTACATGGCTGTGGGAAGAAGCAAGAAGTAAAGAAAAGATTAAGGCCACATCATGAATAGAGCATTGTGTGCTGTGTTATGGAGTTTAGAGTATTCTATAGGTGCTAAGGAGCCCTTAAAGGCTCTGGAGGAGAGCCTCCAGAGAAAAAGATTCTTAAGGATTCAGCATGATCTCAGTGAAGGCGGAAGATGCTGTTTAAAAATAGAGGAAAAAATATGGAGGAGGTGGGGCACCTGGGTGGCTCAGTCGGTCAAGCATCTGCCTTTGGCTCAGGTCATGATCCCAGGCTCCTGGGATCAAGCCCTGCATCAGGCTCCTCCTCTGCCCCACCCCCCCCGCTCCTTCCCCTCTGCTCACGCTCTGTCTCTCTCTCTCAAATAAATAAAATCTTTAAAAAATATATGGATATGGAATTAAGAAGGGAAAGTCCTGCTGTTGATTTTCCTCTCAGAAGTATATTTTTGAAGCGTATAAGAAAAAGGATGACGTAACCTTGGTCTGAGGACTTTGGTAGTCCACTTGCGCTCTCCTGCCCTCGGATGTCTAACGGTTTCACTTTAGTACAGCTCCAGAGCTGTGCAAGCCTTTTGAATTGTGGCAACTCCTAGGAGATGATGTTTGTTCTAAGGTGGCAATGATAGGACTCCAGGGGGACAGTTATGGAAGTTTGGATTTAGCTTTCAGGTATCTTTCTGGAAAAGTAGAAGCTTATTTGTTGAGAGTGGATACGGGATTAGGAGAGGTAGATATTCAAATGTATTCACTTGAGGCCTGATCCAGCTTTAAACCAAGTTAGCCCCACAGTGAAATAATCTGGCAATGCACATTTATCATTTCCTGATGTTTGCTGAGGTCACAGCAGAGAATGAAAGCCAAGTATCCTGAGCTGTGCTATATCTGGATGTCATCAACCACAGACTGAACTTGAACTATTCAAGAAAGGGGTTAAGAGAGACAGAGTCCAACCCAAGTTTCAGCAAGGACCGGTCTTTTCTATTGTCTGGTCCACACTGAATTCAACCCTACTGTAAATATTAAGTACACCTGCCAGGAGAAACAAATTACTCTCCAAGAACCTAAAATTGTTACAAAGGATTAAATGTTTAGGTCCTTTCCTTAGCTACATCAGTTAGGTCCCACTGATTTGATATTAAAATCTATGTACTGGGATGACTGTCCCAGGGAGTGTTAATAGAGTAAAATAGGTTTCAATGACATCATTAGCTCAGTGTCTGTCTCTAAAATAGCAGCTTCCGTGCAGCAAGAGCAGGGAGCAGCAGCAGCCGGCACCTGCAGCAGCCGGCACCTGCACAAATGCACATGAACTCTCCGTGTTTCCTACCTTCTGGCCTCCTTGGGCTTTCCTGACAGCCTCATGGATTAGAACCATCAAAGGTCTCAGGGAGGCACAAGCCTTTGTCTGTAGGCCTTGCTATCCTACTGCCCTATCCAGTACTCCCTGGCTGGGTTGGGATCTGAGGCTAGTAGGCAAGGTTGGGCCCTACTGGGTATTCATGGTTAGGGACAGCAGGCTATTCTGCCAGACTTATTTATAAACAGTCATAGTTCAGTTTCATGGTATTATGCCGGTGGGTTTCCAACTTTGAGAGGATCTTTTTCTGCTTCACTATCCAGGACTATTTATAGACTGCTCTAACATAACTGTCACTGTATGGGAGACATTAATCAGGGTAGCATTTGATATGGGCCCTTCCCTGACCCCCTTAGCTGTCAGCAAGCAAAAAGATCCTACAGGGCATATTCCCTTTTCCTGTGGAGTGGCACATAGAAGGCATAGGGCCCCAGGTGTGGCTCTGCCAATATCACCGACCCTCTGAAGGGAGGGCAGAGGGGCAGCAGGGTGGTGTGACAGGATAAAGGCAGTATCTACCCATACCACTTGGCTTCCCTGCTGAGAAAAGAGCCTTTAGAGAATGAACTTCTCCCTGCCTTTCCTCTGAACAAGTCCAAGCCACAGAGACAACAGCTGTTCTTTTCTCCAACCAGAAGAGAGAAGGTGCAGTGCATTGCTAGGCATGGGCCATTCATTATTTCATGGCTCATTCTTTTGCTCATTTATCTGGTATTTATTAAATTTTTATAGTGTGGTAGACCTGTGTAGTTAAAAAGACGTACAAGACAGTCCTTTCCTCCAAGAAGTTCACAGCTAGTGGAGAAGAGATGTGAAAAACACTTGTGATACAATGAAAGAAATAATACAGTGTAATAAAAACTATGATAGAAACATCTGTAAGGTCCTTGCTGAAGCATAAAAGAGGAAATAACTGACTTTTTAGTAACTTCCTTGGAGCCTAGAAGATGGAAAATTGAACTTTTAATTTATATTCAGCTCTGTTGGAGTCCTTGAAGATTAATACCAACTTACAACTCTTGTTATATTTCAAGACAGAAAGTTAATTTGAGGGAGAAGATTTGTCAACAGTCTGCTATACCAATGTCAGCACAATGACAATAGCTCTTACCATCTACTGGGTGCTCACCATGTGCCAAGTGCTGCTAAGCCTGTTATATACATCATCTCGTTTAATCCTCACCGCAATCCTATCAGGTAAGCATTATCATCTATATTTTGTATATGATAAGGCTGATGCTTGGAAAAAGAAAAGTAACTTTGATTTATGACTTTGTTTTTGTTTTCCACCCCCCTACAAATTACATGGTGAAACCTGGCATGTGTAGCTTCTTAGATATCACTGTCCATTGCATACATTCAACTTTTTAATTTTTTTTTTAAGATTCTATTTATTTGAGAGAGAGTGATAGCAAGAGAGAGCATGAGTGGGAGTGGGAACGGGAATGGAGGTGGGGAAGAGGGAGAGGGAGAAGCAGGCTCAGTGGGGCTCAATCCCAGGACCCTGGGATCATGACCTGAGCCGAAGGCAGATGCTCAACCAACTGAACCACCCAGGCACCCCCCCAACTTTGTTTTTAAATAGTGAAATAAAAACTTGAAGTGCCTCTTCAAGTTTTGGACCTGGATGCTATATAGATTTTGGCATCACATTGTTTAGAGGTGGAAGGCCGTCTTAGGAAGTCATATCTTAGAGGAGGAACTGATTCCCAGAGGAGTTAAAACATTTTAGCCAACATTATTCAGTGCTCTGGGTTCTTCAGTGGGAGAGAAGGCTTCTGTCTTTTAAGGCAGTATTCTTGCCCCAGGGCTACAGGCTCAAGGATGTGCAGACTCTGGGATTTAGTACAATCATCTTTACTGAATGATGTTAAACATTTCAGCCAAGAGGTATCTGGGTGGCTCAGTCAGTTAAGCATCTACCTTTGGCTCAGGTCATGATCTCAGGGCCCTGGGACTGAGGCCTGCATCAGGCTCCTTGCTCAGTGGGGATCCTTCTTCTCTCTCTCCGTCTGCCCCTCTCCTCCTCTCTTGCTCTCTTTCTCAAATAAATAAAATCTTTTTTAAAAAAAATCAGCCAGCAACAAAAATATTCAAGATGAAACATTTTTTTTTTTTTTTTTTACTTAGGAACATAGTTCCTAGCTGACCATCAGAATTTCATAGCCATTTATTTGATAAGGAGTTTTATCCAACAAATGCCATGTACTGTCAAGGTGAACAAGATACAGCACTACCCAGCAGTTAGTTGTCCATAATTTGGTGAAGGGGCAGACATGAAATCAAACAATAATTATGTACAGGTATGCACAAAGATCTAGGGTGCTATAGAAATGTGTAAAGCACTAATTCTCAACTGGGAGTGAGTCCCACGCCCATACACCTAGCAGACATTTGGCAATATCTGGAGACAATTTGACTGTCATAACTAGGGGGGGTGCTCCTGGTATCTGGTGAGCAGAGGCCAGAGATGCTGCTAAACATTCTAAAATTCACAAGACAGCCCCCCACAACAAAAATGTAGCCAGCTCAAAATGTCAACAGGGTTGAAGGTGAGAAACTCTAGTACGGAGCCAGCAAAATATTTTCTACAACAGATGGGGGAGGGGAGTAAAGTTTGGTGGGTTGGTTATGGAAGAGTTTACTAAAGAGATAATGATTGGGGTTGGGAGAGAGAGGATACCCAGCAGAAGGGACAACATGTGCAGAGCCACAGACCCTGGCGTATTTGGGCAATCCCAAACACCAGAGGAATAGTTGTGGGCATTAAGACTGGACAATGAGGCATTCAGTAGAAGATAGACATTCAAAAAAATCTGTTGAGTTAGACGAATTACTGTAAGAAAATCTGGCTCCATGATGGCTCTTTATAAGTTAGGCACTCAGAAGCAGAGTCTAGGTACAAATCTCTGTGAACTAAAACTGCTCAAGAAAGAAATGAGGCTTTTCTCATCTTGCTTCCTAGGGTCTAGCATTTTCCAGGTATTTGTTACTTTCTCAGAAATAGAGTTGGGCTGTTTGAATGGAATGTGAGCTCTGAGAGGTGGAATAGCTCTCTATTAAAGCCACTTAGATGGTGTCTCAGTGCTGGGATCACAAGCAGAGATGAGGTGGTTATTTCTCGTGCATTAGGTTTATAGGCAGATGATGTTTGTTTCCTCTTTTGCAGAGAATCCTAGTTCAGAATTGGGGATATGTCAATCTCAAGATTAGACTGCCACCTTGAATGAGTTGCCTTCCCCCTCCCCCACAAAAAAAGGGTGGGTGGGTAGGCCATTCCAATCAGGGTTTCTCTTTCTCTTAAGCTAATGATGATCAAAGCAACTGACAAACTGCCACGGAATCTATCAGACCTCACTCTGGCCTTGCTGTAGCTCCCCAGCTCCTGAACTTTTCTTCCTTCTGTCATGCTCTGAGCCCATTCTTAGCAAACTACCAGGTCTCTGACTCCTGGTCAGCAGCTACCCTGGGCATGTTGTGCTCTGATCCACGTGCCTGCATCTGCCCCCTGGTGGCCTGATGACAGAGCTTAATGGAGGTGAGTGGCCCTTCTCTAACTCAGGTCATTTTCTAGGCACAGTGTGGAAAACTGGATCACTGAAGGGGGTATGGATTTTAGAGCATGAAAGGAAATTCAGGGAAATATTTAATTTGTGACAGCTTATAGCTGCTATACTCTCTTCGAGTATTGGAATAACTGAGAATTTATTTATTTTAAAGGTTTATTTATTTATTTTAGAGATGGGGGACAGGGAGGGACAGAGGGAGAGGGAGAGAGAATCTCAGGCAGACTCCCCACTGAGTGCAGAGCCGGATGTGGGGCTTGATCCCACGATCCTGAGATCACCACCTGAGTGGAAATCAAGAGCCGGCTGCTTGACTGATTCACCCAGGTGCCCCTGGAATAACTGAGAACTTAGATAAGAGAGATTGGTAGGTAAGTAGTGATGCCCACCATAAACTTTTGAGAAAAATTCAACTAAATGCTATACAAAAATTTATTAATCACTTTAATTATTTTTTTAATATTCTAAAGTTGTCTTATCTCAGTATGCATGGATCTGTTTCATCCTTTTCTTTTTAAATTTTAATTCTATTATAGTTAACGTGCTGTGTTATATTAGTTTCAGGTGTATAATATAGTGATTCAATAATTCTATATATTACTCAGTGCTCATCAAGATAAGTGTACTCCTTATTCCCTGTCACCTATTTCACCCATTCTAATCACTTTATTTTAGGTTGAAAAAAATTTATTATGTATAACTTAATTTGCCAGTTATGCTATCACATTTGATATTTTATATTTACAATGGAACTGATACTCACAGGAATTAAACATTTTTTTTGTCTTCCAGCTACTTATTTTTATTTTTAGCTGCATCTTACAAAATTGACTGAAGAACTAATCATTTTTTTTTCACTACAGTGTAGTCTGGGGTTATTTATGCCTGTTAGAATTCTGAAAAGTTATAAATGGAATTAGCATTTGCTAAGATATAATTTTTTTAAAAATTTTAATTCCGGTATAACTAACAGACAGTGTTTTATTAGTTTCAGGTGTGCAGTATAGTGACATGACAATTCTATACATTATTCAGCGCTTATCACAATAAGTGTACTCTCAATCTCCTTTTCCTATTGAACCCATCCCCCCACCCACCACCCTTGCAGTAACCACCAATTTGTTCTTTATAGTTAAGAGTCTGTTTTTTGGTTTGTCTCTTTTTTTCTTTGTTCATTTTTTTGTTTGTTTGTTTCTTAAATTCCACATATGAGTGACATCATATGGTATTTTTCTTTTTCTGACTGGCTAATTTTGCTTAGCATTATACCCTCTAGAGCCATCCATGTTGTTGCAAATGGCAAGAGTTTATTCTTTTTTTATGGCTAAGTAATATTCCATTTTGTATATATACCACCTCTTCTTTATCCATTCATCTATTGATGGACGCTTGGGCTGCTTCCATAATTTGGCTATTGTAAATAATGCTGCAATAAACACAAGGGTGCATGTATCCCTTCAAATTAGTGTTTTTGAATTCTTTGGGTAAGTATCCAGTAGTAGAATTACTGGCTTATATGGTAATTCTTTCTATGTTTAACTTTTTGAGGAACCTCCATACTGTTTTCCACAGTGGCTGCACCAGTTTGCATTCCCACCAACAGTGCACAGGGTTCCTTTTTCTCCACATCCTCACCAACACTTGTTTCTTGTGTTTTTTATTTTAGCCATTCTGACAGGTATGAGGTGGTATCTCATCGTGGTTTTGGTTTGCATTTCCCTGGTATTAATGATGTTGAACATCTTTTCATGTATCTGTTGGCCATCTGTATATCTTCTTTGGAGAAATGTCTGTCCATGTCTTCTGCCCGTTTTTAATTGGATTATTTGTTTTTGTTATACAATTATAGGAGTTGTGTAAGTTCTTTTTATATTTTGGCTATTAACCCTTTTTCAGATATGTCATTTGCAAATATCTTTTCCCAATCAGTAGGTTGTTTTTAGTTTTGTTGAGGAGTTAAACATTTTTAATTGAATTCCTTTAAGATCTCTTCAGAGCTAAAACAAAGGAAGTTATATTTGTCCAAACTAAGTGTTTTCTTGATCGACAGACAAAAGAAAATGTATATTTACCAAAAGAAAGCTGAAAAATACTCACTAAAATTCATGAACAAGAAATTTTGACACGAGTCCTTATGTTCTGATTTATCATTTCCATCAGTTTCCACTTCTTATAAAGTTTAATTAAACATATATTAATCATTAAGATAAAGTTTTAATTTCCTCAGTTATGGAATCTTTAGATTTGCTCTTACTCTTCTCTGTCCTTAGTTGATGAAACAGAGTTATATGTATTTTATTTATAATTTCTAGAGGGAAAAATAGACACTATTATCTATTCCTACTCTATCTTATTACTATTGTCTATTCCTACTACCCTCTTTTTGAATAAGGGGAAGTTAGTAAAAGTAGACACTTTTCCACAACAGTAAAAAAAAAATGTTTGTGTAACAGTGAGCTTTCCATTATTTGAAATGCTCAAGCAGTGGCTAGGAAGGAGTGAATTAAATGACTTATGATCTCTTTTAACTGAGAGGCTCAGATTAAGTGAACAAGTTCATAATCTTCCTTTCTTATAAGAGTGAAAGTGACAGGGCACATGAAGCAAGACTATATCTTGCTCTTGTGTTTGAGCCACGTGTACCACATAATTTGTCTTCTATAGATAAATTGTATTTCTCTGCTCTTAAAGTTAATTCTTCAGAAATCTGCCCCTCAGAGTTTTTAAAAATTACTTTGAAGAAATAAAAGCTTTTTGAAAAGTAACAAATGCCCTTTAAAAAAACAACAAATGCCTTTAAATATTTTACTAATCATGATTTCAAAAAAAAATTTGAATTTCTTCTCAGAAAAAAAAAAAAAACCCTGGGAAAAATTAAGCATTTTTTCTTCAAGTTTCCAATGATTTCATTGCTCTACTCCTTCCTTGACTTTTCTCTGCTTTATGAGAATAGAGAAGGTGAGTGGAAGGAGGTGGATATGTTTTCTTAGAAAGTGATTGCTGCCAGCCAGGTGCTTTCTAAGGATGAATTCCTATCCTGGACTTGAATTTCTCTCCTTCTGCCTTCAGGTTAGACTTTCCCTAAGGAGCTGGAGCTGGCAGTGGGTGTGATTTCCTAAGATTTCCAGACAGAGAAATTTCAGAATCTCCTCTGTTTTCCAGAATCTCCTACCTTTCCCTCTAGAGTAGTGGGAAATTGCTCTGGCAATTTTGTCTCACAAGTTTGATCCATTTATTTTTTTAAAGATTTATTTGAGAGAGAGAGAGAGAGAGAGAGAGCAGGAGGGAGAGAAGGGGCAGAGGAAGAGGAAGAAGGAGAAGCAGACTCTCTGCTGAGCAGGGAACCTGATGTGGGGCTCGATCCCAAGACCCTGGGATCATGACCTGAGCGGAAGGCAGACACTTAACCAACTAAGCCACCCAGGGGCCTCACAAGTTTAATCCATTTAAGAAATTCAGTTACACAAAACATTGATTGGCCCTCTGCTGACTCAATGATTAGTAAAATGGGCTTTAGGGTCAGATATCAGTTCAAATCCAGGCTCTACCACTTAATTACTGTGTGACCTTGGCAACTTATTTAACCTCTCTAAGCTTCATTTTCCTTAAAAATGGAAGCCTATCTCATAAGGCTGTTATGAGGATTAAATGAAATAATGTGCATAAAACATTTTGTACAGTAAACAGTCAGTAAATATTAGTTAATATGATTAAACTAATACCTTGTTTTACAGAAGAGGCTATATTCTTGAAAGTCAGAGTAATTGGCAAAACCTTAATTGGCAAGATGAATTAATCAAATAACAAAAAATCATATAGTGTCAATAATAACATTAAATATATATTAAGTATATATTTTCTTTTTTTATTAACATATAATGTATTATTTGTTTGAGGGGTACAGGTCTGTGATTCATCAGTCTTACACAATTCACAGCGCTCACCATAGCACATACCCTCCCCAATGTCCATCACCAGCCGCCCATCCCTCCCACCCCCTCCACTCCAACAACCCTCAGTTTGTTTCCTGAGATTAAGAGTCTCGTATGGTTTATCTCCCTCTCTGGTTTCGTCTTGTTTCATTTTCCCCTCCATTCCCCTATGATCCTCTGACTTGTTTCTCAAATTCCTCATATCAGTGATATCATATGATACTTGTTTTTCTCTGATTGACTCATTTTGCTTAGCATAATACCCTCTAGTTCCATCCACATTGTTGCAAATGGCAAGATTTCAGTTTTTTGATGACTGCATAAAATTCCATTGTGTATATATATATACCACGTCTTCTTTATCCATTCATCTGTCGATGGACATCTGCACTCTTTCCATAGTTTGGCTATTTGGACATTGCTGCTATAAACATTGGGGTACACGTACCCCTTCGGATCACTACATTTGTATCTTTGGGGTAAATACCCAGTAGTGCAATTGCTGGGTTGTACAGTAGCTCTATTTTCAACTTTTTGAGGAACCTCCATACTGTTTTCCAGAGTGGGTGCACCAGCTTGCATTCCCACCAACAGTGTAGGAGGGTTCCCCTTTCTCCGCATCCTCGCCAACATCTGTCGTTTCCTGACTTATTCATTTTAGCCACTCTGACTGGTGTGAGGTGGTATCTCATTGAGGTTTTGATTTGGATTTCCCTGATGCCAAATGATGTGGAGCACTCTTTCATGTGTCTGTTGGCCATTTGGATGTCTTCTTTGGAAAAATGTCTGTTCATGTCTTCTGACCATTTCTTGATTGGATTATTTGTTCTTTGGGTGTTGAGTTTAATAACTTCTTTATAGATTTTGGATACTAGCCCTTTATCTGATATGTCATTTGCAAATATCTTCTCCCATCCTGTTGATTGTCTTTTGGTTTTGTTAACTGTTACCTTTGCTGTGCAAAAGCTTTTTATCTTGATGAAGTCCCAATAGTTCATTTTTGCCCTTGCTTCCCTTCCCTTTGACGATGTTTCTAGGAA